TAAAAAAAAAAATTTTGAATTTACTTACTTGTAGCCAGAGTTAGAGGCGGTCGGATACTTATGACCGCTACTGTATTTCTATAAAAACGTAATGCTATATCTGAAATTAGTATACCTTATACTCTAACTTCTACCGTTACCTTTGGTAACAATAAGACAGTCTCACTAGCAGACGAAATTAAAAAATATGATATGATCAAGCTTATAGAATATTTGTAAAAGCAGAACTTAGGGCTTAGTGAAACAGCTATCAAAATTTTAAAGAAAGAAGAGCTTAATGGTAGGGACTTCTTTAACATGACCAAAGAAAAGTATATGCAAGATGGTTTAGTAAGAGGATCTGCTATAAGACTTATGAAGTTCGCTAAAGAGTATAAGAATAAGAAGTTGAAGGCCTTTTCAATATACTGCAGTTTAAAAGAAATTCTGGTAAAATATGATATTAAATCTAATAGTACAGATATCATCCTACTTTTTTCGCTATAACCCCCAAGATTCAAGATTTCAATAAGCACTTAGGACATTGTGTAGAGAATATTTTATTCAGGATGAAGCATTACAGGTCTTTGGTTATAGATAGCTTAGAGTTTATATGCAATGATTATGTTTTGGCTATACTTTATATAGCTTTCCATATCGCAGAAGATGAAACAAGTAAGAAATTTAGCATGAGGATCTGAATTCGAAATAATTGGAAAAGAGGGTTCTGGCTAAATTAATTATATAATAATGGTATGTGAGTTTTTTCTTAGCATTTTTCGTTCATATTTTTTGAGTATGAACTAATATTATATCTGCCTTTTAGAAATTAGAGAATCTTATTTATATCACTGAAAATAAGATCTAGTATAATATTCTCAAAGGTTATGCTCAAAATATAAAATAATTCAAAAGCTCTTATGAAACAAACAGGAGGAAAAAATGAAAACGTGAGGATAATAATTTTGATTATCTGTATGGTATTGTGATCACTACTAAGGATTGACATTTCCTGTTTTATAGTCTAGGTAAAATTTCTCAGGTAAGTGAGCTTCCGCTTGCTATCGAATTCAATAAGAAGACCTTGATCAAAGATTCTAAAGAATATAAATGTTACATAGTGATATGAAAAATGTCTTGAGTATAGTAGTTAGAATGTTAGTAGATAAGGCAAGTGCAGAAAATGAATCTTTCTCAAAGAAAAAAGCTAAAGTGAAGGAATATCGATCGAAAAAATAATCATATATATTAGCCTAGATGTTATGTATCAGTTATATCACAAGCTACGTCCTGAACTTTGTATTTATTTTTTGCATGTATTAATAAAAAATTGAATTTTGCAGGTATATATAATAAGTGAAAAAAAATATAGTCATAGGATGGGGGTTCTGAGGTTATATATAAATTTATATCATATTTACATTTTAACTGAGAAGCTGTGTTAGAGCTAATACATGCTCTAGCTCTAAAATATCTGTTTTTGTGAATATGTCATATAATGCATTTGGTTTATATCTTGAAAGTACTAAATTTAGATTATAGAAGAATTTCATGAGTACCTCGTTCCTCTAAGTTTTCATCTCTTCTTGCTCCTAAGTTATTCCTATTAGTGTGATCAAGTTATCATTGGAATAATTCATTTAGATTAGATTCTGAAGTGAGGATTGTTTATTTTTTTCAAGGATGAATAAACTCATTTCTCCTACAACTGCAGATTTTACACTAATAAAAAAGTTTTTACAAATATCTACTCTATTAGCTAAAATAGATAAAGGCAGAATTAAGGCTGAATAGTAGAAGTTGGCTAAGGGATCCAGCTCAAATTCACTTACATATATGATTCCAATGTCTTCTAAATAATCTAAGAGTTTATCAACATATTTATAACCTTTATGAATCAACTTCTGGAATAGCTTTCTGTTTGGATCAATCATTAGTCAGTTAAAATATTAAATACTATTTTTTTTTTGTGTCTATAGATGATGATTTATGCTGTGATATATGATTATTATTTACGATATACTTTTTCCACTACAGTTTAATTAGGATTTTCTCATTTTGAAATTTAAATTCTATAATATGAAAGGTGCAAGAATATAATAAATGGATTGTTTTATCTATCTTTACATTAAAAAAGATGGAAATATTTGTGGTTGTATTTGCACTCGCTTAGTAGAATGCTCGCTTTACTGAAAATCAGATGCAAATAATATACTAAAATCTTCATGTAAAATATGCGATAAACTTACATTATCTTATACAAGTTATTACTCTAAGCATACAAAAAAAATTTATTGTCGCTTTGAAAGAGAGAGATAATGAATAAGTTTTTTGACTTAAGTCAAATGCTTACTTGTATTATGATTGTAAACCCTATTAATAAAAAAATTTTTTCCTGGCAAAAAAGATTTGCATTTTAAATTGAAACAGACACGTAACTTTTTTTATTTTAAATGCTTATATAAAAGTATTATCAAAGATAGAATCTGAAATTGACTTATTTAAACAAGAAAATGCCAGACTTGTGGCCAAGAATTATGAGCTTAAGACTGAGATCATAAAGCTGAGTCAGATTATTAAAGAGAATGTTAGACGTGATGTTAGGGTCAAAGAACTAGAGCAAAAAAATACAGAGCTTAAGATTAGATTTGCGTCATTAGAACAGGCTTCCTTAATAGTGAATAGACAACCATAAAATGATAATGAAATGATATTAGAAGGGTTAGAGGTATCTGTATCAGCTGTTGATGTATCTGAATTTGTAGTAGACCAGCAAAATAATGTTGTTACTAAATCAACAGAGGATAAGATAATAGATGATTATTTGCTTAAGCAAATACTGATGTCAGAGGTGTTACCAGAGATAACTGATGTATACAATATTTGCCAAAAGTAAACCCAGCTTGAGCAGTGTAAGCCTGATAGCAAAACAAATAATACAGTAGTAGATAGATTAAGTAGACATCACTATATATATAGTGATGTCTACTTAATCTATCTACTTACACTATATTAATGCCTACTTATAGATATTGATGCCTACTTACTTGTTTTTATGTGTCTATGCCCCTTTTGATGCCTTGTAGCTATCCGCTTGATTTCATTGCTTTGTGGCTTTTTTATTGCCTTGTAGC